TTTCCAGTATGCCAGCCATTGTTTTTACTTTACCTTTCTTTTATTTCCCAGCATTTTAGAACAGTAATGAGTCATGAATATTTATGGTTTCAATGTATTTTATGAAAACTAACCAGTGACACTGGCTATAAACTAAGTAGCAAATTTCTCCGCTATAGGTGAAAAGATAAGACTTCCATTGATCACCTATTGATCTCAATCCTATCTAATCTTTCCTTCTTTATTCTGCCTGGGAATGACCCATTTTTTAACTCAATACACCTTTAAACAATAACAACATCAGCACTTCTTAGCCTGACATTCAAACTCCTTCACAATTAGGAGGAACAGCATGATGTAATAGAAAGAATCAAAATCTTTCATAAGAAAATTGAAAATTAAAACTCAGAGAATTAGCAGTTGACAAAGATGAACACAAATACATTAATATGCTGTGAATTGTTTTAACCATTCTAGAAACAATCTGACATGATGACAAGCAAATGACACAAATGTCCATACTCTTAAGCATAATGCTGGACACATAGTAGGCATTTAAGAAATTACTATTTATTCCCTATCTACCTCTCTCCTTCCTTTTGACCCAGAGATCCCATAGCTAGACATATACCTTAATAAGATCAAAGGTAAAAAGATCCAATATATTCCAAAATATTTGTAACAGCACTTTTTATAGTAGCAAAAAAAAAAAAACCCTGGAAAAAATGTCCATTAATTGGTGAGTGGCTAAACAAAATGTGGCATAATAATCTAATGAAATATTACTTCAATGTAAAAAATAGTACATATGAAGGATACATAGAGGTCTAGGAAGACTTACATGAAGTAACCAAAATTAAAGAAACAACATATATACTGATTACAACAACAATATTATAACAACAATAAAAACTGAAACTAAACATTGAATAATTATGACTGATCTTGGCCCACCTTCTTTGCAGAGGTGGGAAATTGTGGAGTATATTTGATTAATATGTTGGTTAATCTTGCTGAACTGCTTTTTTGTCCCTTTCTTTTTTATTCCTCGTAATAATGGTAGGGAGTGAGAGGAGATATACATTAAATCCTCAACATTCCTATATTTAACTTTCACAACTTCAAGCATTAACATGGTTTTATTAGTAATTTCATTTTCAATTTCCCTATAATGAGAGGCACAATGTGCACGTTTGTAGAACAGCTAGTATTCTAATGGGCCCTTCACTGGTCTTGTTCACCCTACCGTTGTAAAGAGTTCCCCATGCACTCATTAAATACTTTTATTATTTGCTTTCAAAATTCAAAATTTGGTGCTGCAATTGTGCCCCCAAAATGTAGTGCAAATCCTTTGATTTCAAAGGCCAAGCAAGCAAAGTCAGTGATACAGTTTGATGAGAAAATAAAAATGTTAAGCAAATTTTGTGCTGAAATATCTGCAGCCACTATCAAGCCAAGCTTGATGTTAACAAATTGACAATTGGTTTTATTTGCAAAAAGGAGTAAAGAACTTATGGTACTGGAAATTTCATGTGTCATGAAAAGTGAATACCGTCTGAAATTATTGTGTGTGGTTTTTTTAAATTAAGGTGTTAGCACAAAAAGGTCACAGAATTCTAGAAAATTGCTGGCAAGAAAAATGTTTTGCATGTTACCAATTTTATTTTGTGTACTCAATTTTATGAGTTATTTCATGATTACTGTGTTAGGAAAAGTACATGTTATCAGAATTAATGTTTTTTTATAAAAAATTACATGCAGAAAAGTATATTTTCAACAATCTTCAGTGAAAGATTACAATTTTTGGTGGTTGCAGTAACCTGACCCTCTATTTTCCATAGGTTCAGTGTATCAACATTCACATTTTTTACTTTTACACTGTTTTCTAGGAATATTACCTCTGTGAAATTGAGGATTGACTGTATTGGGAAATGAAGGTTATATAAAAACAACATATCAATAAAACAAATTTTTTTTAAATATCAGGATATTTTATACCTGAAAGTATCCTAAGAAATAATCTATTCTACTCATCTCATTTTATAAGTGAAAAAACTGAGGCCAAGACAGATAAAGTTACTTGCTATGGGAGTAATAGAGTAAGCCTAGAAAACTAGGTCTTCTACGTCCAAGCATAATATTCTGGCCTCCACACCATCAAGTCTGAAGGCCTGTCAAAACTAGATCAATAACCTCAAACAAGTCAATTAAGATCTCTGAGCCTCATTTTCCTCATCTATAAAATGGAGATAATAATAGATTTCTTAACTACAATAAGGACATTATGAGGATCAAATGAAATAATATGTATGAAGTATTTTGTAAGTCATAAAAATACTATGAAAATGTTAAGCTATTACTCTTAACTATCTTTCCAACCTCATCTTATGTTATTCTTCCTCACATACAGTTTACTCTGTCCAATTGTACTACTTACTATCCCATCATTTCCTATTTCTTCACCTTTACTCAGGCTATTCCTAAGATTGAAAATGTCCTCTCTTCCCTACACTCATCTTCATTTATTGCTATCTTATCCAGCTTCCAAGCCCAGTTCAAATGCGATTTCTTCCATGAAGCTTCCTCTGATCCTCTCAGACAGAAGTGCTCTCTCTCAGACTTCATCTGCTCTCATGATACTTTGTCCTACTCTAATGTATTAGTTATACTCTAATTTGCATTTCATCTGTGCATGGACCTTATCAATCCTATTAACACAAAAAGTTACTTGAGTGCAGGAAATCTGTTTTATCCATCTCTCCACTTCTTTCAAGAGCTTAGAAGAGTGCTGAGTACAAAGTTGGTCCTTGATTCATTCTTTGTTCTAGTGAATGAGTAAATGAACATAGAAGCAAAAAATCAGATTCTGTGATAGCTATCTAAGGGCACAGTATATTGATATTCAATTAAAATTCAAATATTAGATATGGTATCAGATCAAATATGGTAAAGTGAGGAAGGTCAAACAAAGCTGCGGATCTGTGAGTCACTTACAAAGAACTTAATGAATGAACTTGTCATAACCATCAATCAATTTTCAATTTTTTGTACATTATGCATGGCTATTAGCTAAAAATACAGATCCAAGATTTACAAGCTTACTTTATAACTATTACATTCAAATGTTTTCTGAGCTTTTGAGAAGAAAAAAATTAAAATTTTCCACAATATAGTATCAATCAAAGATACTTAGTATTTAAAAGTTACTACTAAAATCAGCTGCCATACTTTCAATTGTGTAAATGAGATATTAGACATCACAAATATATTAAACATAAGGGTAGCCATAATGTTATCAAAGCAATAGTAAAGCCTTTATCCCCCCCCCACCCAGAGGCTTTTGATGAGGTTACATGATTCTATATTCCTATTAAGAAAGACATCAGTTGAATTACCCTTTGTTCACCACCCATTTCGAATTCTAGGATGATAAAAAGAGAATCCAGAGGGGATACAACCGTACAGGTCCTCCCATCAATCTGTTGAACAGTTACTACTTTCCTGGTGCCTGAGAATTCTAATCTTTAAGTAGGGTGCACTAGTAATGTTATAGGGTGCACTGGTGATGTTTTCCTAAATTTGTTTTTCTAGTGAGTCCTTCCCAAAATACTAAACAATGTTATTTAAGATATGTACAGTAAAAATACAAAAACAATTAATATTTTAACAGTTATTCATATTCCTGAGGCTAAAATAAGCTGGACTAGTGAAAATCCACTTACTGTTTAACTACTGAGTAATTTTTTTTAAAAAAGATAATTTATGGACAAGAAAAAAACTGTCAATAATCAGTTCTTCATTCACAGACTTAGCTTCTTATTTTTGAGAGCTTTTAAAGATATTGCCCTTCATAAAGCATATCAGCATAGCCATCATATTTCCATTTTAAGACTCTTCAATTTTGTGAGTAATGTTTCCGCAGAACATCTTTTTCAATTGGTTTGGTACCATCTCCAGATACAAGGGTTGGGGAAAGGAGAGTGGGAAATCCTATCAAACACTTTTTCTTTCAAGACATTTTTATCCAGAGTATAGTGATAATCAATAATGAGGTTTTTGGAGGCACTGGAACTATCCACACTTTATAGAATACTTTAAGGCTATTTCATCCTATGCACAGAACTTTGACAAATTAAATCAGCCTGGATGTTTCGTGATTTTCACGTAGGAAACCTGAGTGGTATTCTTTGAGGATTCTTTCAAGGCAGGACCGTTTTGTCTCTTTGAAACCCTCATTTTCAACAGCATGTATAAGAGCAGCAGGCAGTGATTCAAAACATCATCAACATTATCATCAACAAAATCCCACTGTAACACAATTCCTGGCAGTTTCCATAGAAAATGAAGCCCAGGAAGACAGCATTGCAGCAATCGAAAACTGGGGGGAGGGAGGTGTGCGTGTTATTGCTAAGGGCAATTTTGCTCCTGGCTTACAAATGAAGCCTTAATGGTTGTAAAAATAGTAAGAACCATAATCCCCTTACTTCCATAACAGCAAAGTAACCCTCTCTCCCCATCTCTATCAAGAGCATGGCTCATTTAAGTTCTCCTTACAAGTATGAAAGATTGGCCTGTACAGCCCTAAATTTAAGGATCCTGTTTTAGCTAGGAATCGGATACAAGGGAGAATCTTTTGCAAGGTTGCTATGCCTCTAGGATAGTAAAGGTAGGATTTGGAAAGCCTGTGTGTGCGTCAGGATGGGGGATTTAGGAAGAGAGGAATTCATTCTTGAGGCAGAGAGAATTCGGAAACAGAGGAGGGCGGGGGAGGACTGGTTAAGGCAGCTATCCTCCCCCGCACCCCCAGATTGCAGTGTAATGCGCTTAAAAGAAAGCCAGACTCTAAAGGGATCCTTTTCAACCACAAGGGAAGATAGGGGATCTGAAAAAGCAATAAGAAGGAGAAAGAGGGGAACCGGGAAATGGGGCGAAGGAGACACAGCCGGCCGAAGAAGCGAAGAATCATCTTGAATCAAGCAGGGGGAGCGGGATGGAAGAAAACCCGGCATTCAGGACCCTACCTGAACTGGGGAGGGTAGAGGATGCTCCCGGCACCTCTGGCCTGTCCTCCTCCTCTTCCTCCCGCTGCTGTTGCTGCTGCTGCTGCTGTTGTTGCCGCTGTTGTTGCTGCTGGATCAGGCTCAGGTCGGAGCGGCTGGGCTCGGATCTCGAGGCTGCGGGGACAAGCCGCCCTTTCAGCAACACTGCGGCTAGACCTAGGAGCAGAGTGAAGGGAAAGCTCCCGCAAATCCTCGACATGGCGAAAAGCCAGAGGGCCGAGGAGGCATATTGCGACAGAGGGGCAGCTCTCTGGGCGGAGGCGGCAGAGGCAGCGACAGCGGCCGGGCTGCCTGCTCCCCCGCCTCACTGGCCCGCGGACACTCGGGAGACCGCTCACAAACACATACACATACACAGGCACACACACGCGCGCACCACGGAGTGGGGAGAGGAGGAGGTGGCTGGGAGGGAAGGGGAGGAAAGAGGAGGGGAAGAGAGGAGAACACTCGGAGCTCAGCACATGTGACGGGGGCGGGTGAAGATGGGAAGGTGAAGGAGGAGGAGGAGGAGGAGGAAGAGGACTGCTCGCCGCACCCTGGAGGACCAGCGGGGGCTGGGATTGGGAGTTATTTCAGAGCGCCTGAGTAGGGAGGACTCAGAGTAAAATTCTGCTATGGCTATTCTTTTATTTATTTATTTATTTATTTATTTATTCTTTTTTTTTTTTTGGCTATTCTTTTAAAAGCAAGCTTTTGCCTATAAGGGTTATCCTTGGATCGGGAAAAGGCCCCGTGCCTTCACCCACATTTAAAGAAAAATAACTTCCCAGACTTACTGGGCAGGGAAGAGAAGGATTGGTTACATCACCACTATCACAACCCCCTCCCCCATGCCAGGAAAGGTACGAATTCTTGCCATTTAAAAACCTTATACTAATCCAACTGGTGGGTAACTAGCTCTAATTGGAGTTAATATTAATCCTTCAAGGATCCCCACCCCAAGCACCATCTACTTTTAAAATCCCATCTTTTTCTCCCTTCCCCTTTCTAAGGAAGTGGAGGAAAGGTTCGAAGCCCCACCATCTTCCATTCCACTTCCTGGGCATTATCCTGATGTTTTGAGCACCACCGGCAGAGCCTTCTTTGAACTTTTGTAGTAATCAAACAAGAAGCATTTGTTAAGGGCCTACAATGTGTCAGACAATGAGCTAGGATACAAAGGTAAAGAAAAAAAAAGGCACAGCCCTTGCTTCCAGGAACTTAATTGGCGTACATTTGCACATGTAAGTAAATTTAAAATATAGCCAGAGAAAATACAAAGTAGTTTCTGGGTAGGGGATGGAGTGTGAAAGGGAGTAAATTGTAGCAACTGGAGTAATCCTGATCGGCTTCATGTAGGAAGTGACTTAAACTAAACTGAAGAAAGCTAGGGATTCTTTGAGACTCCCAGTGTATGGTACTATAAAGATAAACTTCAAGTGAAACCTAGGAAGAGATTTATGTTTGGACAGCACTATCCCTTTATAGGTTTAAATTGCAAAATCTGAGACCCAGCATAAAGGGCATTACTTTTAAGGCTCATGCGGCTACTATTAGAACAGAGTCCCTTAGGGTACTTATAAACCGGCCGCAGGAAAACCCATCTGCCTAACTTGCTGTAAGTCCCCAAGGAAAAGCATCCTTTGAAGAGCTCAATCATGCATACTCCAGACATAAAATGATCAGATTTTAGCTGCAGTGTGATTAACGAGAGCAGGGACTGGGGGAAATAAAGGACATTTATTTGCTGGAAGGCAGATTAAATTCAGTTATTGTCATTTACTCTGCCAAAAACAAAAAAGCAAAAGATAAGAAAAACCTACCCCCTTAATAATGGTGAATGAAATGAGAGATAGATATGCATTTGGTTTAAATGATCCTTGAAAGGAAGCTTCTTTTGAGAACAGTGAGGGCCAGGTAGTTTATTAATTGCTATGTCAGGCAAAATACAGACTAGGTATACTAAGACCAGTGTTAAATCTGAAACTTTTGGTTAACTACTGGGTTACCATTCCTTTCACCTTTTCTTCCCTATCACCTCTATTTTTGCAGAATATTCTATAACTACCATCACCACCAGCTTTAAAATGAAACTCTTTTTTTTCCTGAGAGTTGAACATACCCATGTTTTGGTGAAACTGATTGGTAAAATTGTCTTTCTCTCTACAGTGGAACTTTCTTTCTTTTTGATACTGTAATAAACTTATTTATTCCTGAGTGAAATACCAATCTAGACTTTCACTATTTGTCCCTCACCAAATAGCCCAAGGAAATACTTTTGCTTCAGTGGGTTTATTATATTTGCACTTTCAAGAGTTTAAATCATATTCTTGTTTCAAATCCAGATGAGACTGAGTAGAAAGTAGGGTTCATGGTAAGACTGGGAAGGAATGGTTTGTGAAAGAAACAAGACCACAAAATACTTTTGGTGAGCAGATGTTGCCTGTCAATGTATATATGTAAATGAATGAAATTGGGCATCATTGGTTCCACCACAGCTTTGTCTCCTGTGTGTAAGCAGGAGGCATTTGGAAAAGGGGGAGGGGAAAAGAGGATAAAGAGCTGAACTGGTATATGCCTAGTGCTGCAAACCCTCATTAGTCATACCAAGCTGCTTGTGTTGCTTTTTCTTCCAAGTTACCTCTACTCCTGGAGAGAAGAGAGGAAGAAAAAATGATTCCAAAATACTGACTGGCGGATTAGAAAGAAAAGAAGGTTTGCCAAGAAGACCTATACATTTCTCTTGGTGGTGTCCACCTCTGATTTAATTACACTGGCATTCTGCTTTAGCAGTGGAGTTACTAATTCAAAGACTTTGCTCTCCCCCTCCCCTTCACTTTCCATCCTTATCTCTAGCATCACCTAGCTAGGCATCAGCATATAGTAAGTTCATATTGTGGGTATATTTTGAGGTAAACAAAGTTTTATACATGAAAAGGTAGCTGTGGTAGAGTGGAAAACAGAGGTTTTTGAGTGAATAGACATGTTGAAGTCTGAGCTTTGGTAGTTGCTACATAATTCTATTCAAGTCACTCTATATGTCTGAGCTTCATTTTCCTCATTTGGGTATATATCTATGCACAGGATATGTGATTCCTTTAGTGTGACAGTGCAACTTGAATACTGCCTTCTAATGAGACCTTTCCTAATAAATATGTCAGTTTAATTTTTAATGATTTTTATTTTGAATTTAAATGCTAAGAATATACACATCAGAACACAAAAAGAATAAATGAAACCATGAATCTCCATTTTATACTTTTTTATTCCTGAATATGGTTAAGGAATAAGATTACCTTTTTTATAAGTATATGATAACATATATTCATGAGCCATTCATATGTTTCATAACTATACTTTCAAGGGCAAAATGACTATGAATTTGGAATCTTTCAAGTCTGCCTTAGTGAACCATGAATGAGCCTACGAAGGTGATCTCTAGGGTTACATATACAAATAGGTAAATACAAGATTCACATAACTTAGATGGATGGTCACTTTTTAAGGGATTATATTAGCAGCTATGGGTCTCCTGCAAAGAAGCTTATTTCAAGCTGAGTCTTCAAGGAAACCAGGGATTCTAAAAGGCACAGGTGAGGAGGGAGAGGATTTCAGAAAACTTGGGTTTAAGTGTTAGCTCTACTACTTATTTCACTGGCCTCAAACAAGTCACTTAATATCTCTTGATTTCAATTTTCTCATCTGTATAATGAGGGGTACAGCAGAGAGAATAGATTTCTAATTTCTAGAGACTTAGTCTGACAAAGGTATATGAAAAGAATTTCAGAATAATTCCCTTTATAATATTAATATTTTATTAATATAATGATAATCTACAAATTCAAATATAAATAGTAAGAATTTTGGTTCTGTTAGAAGTAAGGCAAATATGGCTCATATATTATTTTAATCAACAAGCACACCATTCATCTTACCTTAAAATATAGAAAGAGATATGAATTTTAATGCATGGCTAGTTTGGGAATTTGTTTTGCTGGTATATGCAGATACATATTGAAGGATTTGTTTCATATTTTTTAAAGTAAAAAAGAATATTTCATTAATATATTCCTCCCAATACACCCATCAGCAATTTTTTAAAAATCCTTCACCATGTATCTTCATATACCAGCAAAACAAATTCCCACACTAGCCATAGATGAAAATTTATATCTCTTTCTGTATTTTAAGTTCTTTTTGTCATAGATGAATAGTATGTTTTGTCTTTCTTCTTTTAGACTCATGGCTTAGTATTGAGTTGATCAAACTTCTAAAGTCTGTAAAATCTTAAACACTATAACAGTGCCTAGCACATAATAAGTACTTAATGATAACAGATTGTTTCTGTATGTTGTGTATATAATCTGTCCTATTACTTGACTTTTTAAAAAAAATCAATATAAAATTGTTTCAGTGATTACTGTTTTGTAGTATAGTTTAAGATCTGGTACTAATAAGTCACCTTCCTTCCCATTTTTTGGTAATTACCTTTGAGATTCTTGACCTTTACTTCATTTGTTTTGTAGTTGTGTCAGACTCTTTGTGACCCCTTTTGGAATTTTCTTGGCAAAGATACTGGAATAGTTTGCCATTTCTCTCTCCAGATCATTTCACTGAGGAACTAAGGCAAATGGGATTAAGTGACTTTGCCAACTGACACAGCCAATATGTGTCTAGAGCTGGATTTGAACTCATGAAGATGAACCTTCCTGATTCCCAGTCCAGTTCTTCATTCACTGTGCCACCTAGCTGCCCCAGCTCATTCATATGAACTTACATATTAATATAAGAATGCCATTTTGATGATAAACATTTCTCATCCACTTGATTTTTCCTAAAATGGATTTTAGGCCAAATTCTTTTGAATGTTTATAGGTATCATTCAGAGGCTCTACAATAGTTGAAGGCTAGATGAAACCAGCACAATATAATTTGCAAATACTAGCATCATAAATAGAAAATTCCTTTTCAATATGGATTCTGAAGTAGATCTCCATTACAGTAGTGAAAATCTTTGGCAATCATATAGCTCTATGTTATATGCCTGATCTGAAGTTAAATATCAGAGAGTCATCCAATAAGGCTATCTTTGTTGTTCAATCTTTTTTTTTTTAGGCGATTGGGGTTAAGTGACTTGCCCAAGGTCACACAGCTAGTAAGTGTGTCAAGTGTTTGGTCTGAGGCTGGATTTGAACTCAGGTCCTCTTGACTTCAGGGCCGGTGCTCTATCTACTGCACCACCTAACTGCTCCTCTGTTGTTAAATCT